TCATTTCTAAAGGAATTTGTCATTCACTGTACAGAAGCTCAATAGTTTTCCCTGCACTCCCCTGCGGAGGTGTGCTGTGATGTATAAATCTCCTCTCGCAGTGCCCCGGGGCAGCGGTCCTGTGGTGTCAGGCTCCTGCAGAGCTGCGCTATTGTCACTAATCTCACTTCACCACTGAGAGGGCTAATTAAACAGCATATTTGAGTGAATTAGCTGTAAGGAAGAATGTGTTGTCATGGGTGTGGAAAGGTCTCCTCTTTCTGGGGGGAAACCAAGCTTGTAGTTTAAGTGAAAATCGAGAATGATGACTCAGGGCAGGGGTTTTTAAACTATTTAATGGGAAAGTCCAACAAATATAAAGTCAGTTATATATTAATTTATACAGATTTAATTTATACTGTTTAAAAAGTTTCAGTGTTAATCAAGAATGATGACTGAGGGCAAATGATGAGAGATGATGACTTTAATGGCAAAGAACAACAAATAGAAATGTTTTTAAGTGTAATTCATTGTTTATATACTATTATATACTTTATTAACACTTTGAATTGGCTTTTATTTGATATGTTCTGTTTTCATTTTAATTTAGTTAGATTTTTAGTCATTTTGTTTTGTGAATTTGTAATTTTTATTATTATTATTATAATTTTTTTACTTTTTGTTTTGGTAATTTTAGTATTTCAGCTGAAAATTATTTGTTTCTAAAGTGACATTTAAATTTTTTGTGTAGGTTTTTAAGTTTTCATATAATATTTATATTCTATTCTATTTAATCTTTATTTTAATTTCCGATAACTTTTAATATTCTGTTTTAAAATATATATATATATAAATATAAATATTTTTTTTTACTTGTGAACAGTACAATATTACAATAAAGCCAAAACATATTTTTCAAATATTATTTGGATAATATTTAATTCTATTAAATTAAGGTACAGTACAAAATGTTTTTTTCTACCCAATATTATAATATTACAGAAACATTTCTAGTTGAATCCATAATTATTTCTACAGCGCTTTTCTCAATAAATATTAAAAACCGAAACTAATATCAAAAATTAGTTTAATTTTAAACAGTTAATATAAAAGCTGACAATAGTGCTAGACAACCAGTGAGCGAGTTAAGGACAACAGCGATGATAACTTCCTTGAAAGAGGTGCAGTGTATACTGACTAATTATATTATGTACCTTGCATATCATATTTCTTACTGTTAAAAACTGTTTTGTAAGATTTTTATTTTCTGTGTAAAATTGTCTGCGGACCCCTTAGCACCCTTAGTTCTTGGACCCTAATTTTAAAAGCCTTGAATGGTAAGTCACATTATTCAGCATGGTCTTAGCAAGACTTCAGAGGAAGTTTAGATGAGTTTGTGAATGTGTGTGACATCTGATGGGTTTTATTTGTCACGAGTGACATGTTCCGCTACAACAAATGACAGAGAACTAGCGAATTCAATAAGTCTGGATTGATTGTCAGACCAGCTTTGGTTTCAGTTCCATGAACATTGGATGGTTGACCTTTGATCATGGGAAAAAAAAACAAATCACACATACACTATACCGTTCATAAATGTCAAAAACATTTTTTATTTTTATTTTTCAACAAGGACTCATTAAATTGACAGTAAAGACGGTCTCTACTTTGTCTATAATTTGTTTTAAAAGATTTCTATTTCAAATAAATGCTTTTTTTTTTTCTTAATGAACCTTCTATTCATCAAAGAATCCTGAAGACTGGAGTAATGGCTGCTGAAAATTCAGCTTTGCCAACACAGGAATAAATCAAATAAAAAAATTAATAAATTAAAACAGAAAACAGATCTTTTAAATTGTAATAATATTTCACAGTATTACTGTTTTTTTTTTGTTTTTTTTTTACTGTATTTTCAAATAAATGCAGCTTAAAACATAAAAAATATATTTATGCTCTTACCGACTCCAAAACCTTTGTATTGCGCATACTGTTGGCTTCTCAGAAAAATATACAGTGGCCCAAAAAAGTATATGGACACTTATGTTGCTCTTAATATGTATGAATTCTCTTTGGTACTCTTTGACACGTCTGAATTCCCATATGAGAAAAAGTGAAACTTTTAACGTTCGCTTTAAGCTAAATATGTATGCGATGAACTGTCATATCCTGCAACCTCTCTCAGTGGCCTTCATAACTGAACATCTGACTAGCAGATGTTTCATCATTAAGGCTGCGACAGAAATTAGCTCAGTGTGTTTTGTCTATAAATGTGCTTTTGAAGAGGTTGGATGTGTAGGTTTAACCATTTAAACATCAGTAAGCTGTAATTATGAGATAATGGGATCATTAAGGGTGACCAAAATGAAGTATGTGCTTCACACGCTAGTCACCATGCGGCCACAGACATTGTTGTGGGAATAATACAAAACATTCTGACTGGACTTCAGTATTTTCGTTCCACAATAAAAGTCTATAAAGTAGTGGAGTCTCTTCACGATTGTTAAAGCACCTCAAGTTCTTCCTTAAATCTCCTCAGCTGGTGTCTTAAAGCTGTGTTGAGTTTGTTAGTTTAGTTTTGCTCCAGTAATAATTGTTTCCCAGTGAGATGGTGATCTCCAGGTTTAAGGTTTCTGTTTTGAAGTCCAGCAATTGATATTGTATAAACACCTCTCCTCAGTTAGTCAAATATTTTTGTGGCTCTGAATTTTTCCACCTCAGGCTCTTGCCAGATCGGTGTGGATGCCTTGTTTGTGAAGTTGTCCTACAATTAGAGTTGTTGGATTTGTTGTTTAGCTGCCTGTCATGTAATCAAATGGATCTGCTTCTGTTTGAAATCAGGACTAAATCTGCTCAGACAAACCATGTGGGACAGCAGTATCTGTGGATGGATTCGTCCTGCTGTGTTTTGGACCGTCCACTGATGATCGCATTACGAGGACATATATTATGCCTGATGGGTCATGACTAACAGCAGTAAAGCTGAATGTTGATATAAACCGACAGCTCACTCTGTTTGTCTACGTGCCTACAGGCAGAAACACACACGTACACATGTAGACAACACGCAGCCAGATATCACAATAACACGATTTTTGCTCATGGATGATTAAAGGGGTCATATGATGCAATTTCAAGTTTTCCTTTCTCTTTGGAGTGTTACAAGCTGTTCGTGAATAGATAAGATCCCTAAAGTTGCAAAGACTAAAGTCTCAAACCCAAAGAGATATTCTTTATAAAAGTTAAGACTTGTCCACACCCTCCTAAAACGCCTCGTGTAAACACGACCCCACATGTCTACGTCACTGTGTGGGAAGATTTGTATAACACCGCCCAAATGTTCACGCAAAGAAAGAAGGCATAACTTTATTGTTGCTGCCACCGGCGCCGCCATGTTGTGAAGACGCTGTGTGTTTCATTGCGAAAGCGAAAATACTTTGTTTGGTCTTCCAAAAGAGGACACAACTAGAAATCAGTGGTTAAGTTGTATTTACAACACTGTTCCAGAACAGTT